CCTGGGATAAGCCAAGGTGAATCTTCATGGATCTTCTACACCCATCACACATCTTCTGCCATGTGGCTCACTGCAGCTTGGAGCACACAGAGAAACAAGTTCTCATGGACCTTGTTGGCTCAAAATGTTCACTCTGAAATAAAAATGCTTTGTCTCCATCTCTATTTATTTATTTGCTAGAGTATGATTGTCACCTTCCTCTTAGCACAAGGTTTTTTTGAGTTTCCCAAACTAGAAGTTTTTCCCCCACCTTTCTGGCACCATCTGGCCTCAGTGTTGAGTGCATGAAGCTCACTGCAACGGCTCCAAAGCACCTCAAGCATGAAAACTGCTGGGAAAAGAAGCTGACCTGCTGACAAGTGCAAGAAGCGATTCTTGCACTTGTCAGCAGGTCAACAGGTGCAGGAGCAGCAAAAGCAGCCAGAGCTGGAGCTGGTGAGGTTGGGTCAGCAGCTGGCAGGACGAGCGTGATGTAGATTTTAGCTCTGGGCAGGGCGCTTGCCTTGGCACCAAGCTTGCCACGTAGTCAAGGTGAAACATTTCTGCTTTTTTCCTGCCTATTTGCTCTTTTGGGCAGAAGTTTATTTCCCCATTGACTTTGGACCATGCCAGCCCCGGAGCCCAGCCCAGGAAGCGAGGAGAGATTTGTGATGGATTTCCTATTGCCCCTCTCACAGGAGCAAATGCTCACTGCTACCTGCAATTTTTAACAGGTAAAAAGAGGATTTCATTTTCCCAGTTACCAGTAGCAGTGCTCTGAAGGGGATGAAAACGTCCCTCTTTTATTTAATTTATTAAAAGCAGTGTTCATTACGATCAACACTTGCCAAAAAGAACACCAGCTGTTAAATTAAACATGAAGTAACCCATCTGGCAACAGTACTGTAAGCAATAACACAAACCAGGTATTGTTCTCATTTAAACTCGAAAGATTAAAATGGAAAAAATTCCTTTTCAAGGTACACAACTACAGAGCTATGACATGTGGGTGGGTATATAAAACATAAAATGAATGAAAATTAACTCTATCCTAGCAAAATCAGGACAGTATAAGCCCTCAGGTGAATGTGCATTTACTGGGGGACATGTGGATTTGCAAAATATGGAGCTTTTTCTGCATCTGCAAGACACATTTGCTGTTCAATGATATGAATTCACCTTGTTCTGCTCAGCCCTGGTTGGGCTTTCTGCTCCCTAGCATTAAAATCCACATGCAAATATTAGAAATAGAGAATGGCAGAAGTTTGAACCAGCAGTGGAGTAGGTGGGAAAAAGAGAAGAAAAATTGAGAAGTGCCAGTTTTTCCTGTTGTATTTTCCACAACTCAATACTTCAAAGGGATCAAGATCAGAAATGCACTGCTACAGATATACAAAATACAGAAAAATGAGGAAAATGAACTTAATTTACACAGATGAGGACTATTAGTGGAGTCAGACTTACGTGGTCACATTTACAGTGCAAAAAAAATCACCCTTTGGGTTGGAGTTTCCAGCAATTCAAGAAAGGAAGGAGGAAGGAGACAGTCACTGGGGTTTGTTATGCTGTCAGTGTGTTCACTCCAGGGTTCTCCTGGAGGAGGAAAACAAGACCTTTCCCATCACCCTTGGGAGCACCAGCAAAGAGAGACACAACAAGAAGGAAAGCTGCTTTCTCTCCTCCCCAACTCTGCTTTTTCTGACTGCTTAAAGAATAAAAAAGCCACACACAAGTGCTGGGCTGCGTCCGATGTGGAGAGCTGACCCCAGTCTGTGGAATGCAAAGTCCAGGGAGAGTTGCTGGGGCTCCCAAAGTTCACAGCACC